TAACGAACTGCCTCCCCATATCATTAGGGACGATATTATTATCTCGGAAAGATCGGCAATGCTAGAATGTTTTAATGAACATTTTGTTGCATCTGGTTCTTTGTTTGACCAGTCTTTATCTCCAAAAACATCCTCTTCTGATGGTAATGCTGTGGGAAGATGTTGTGCTGGCCAGCCTTCTTCTTTTACCTTTGCCCCGTTTTCAATTGATGATGTGCATAAAGCTCTAATGTCATTGGACATCAAAAAGCCTGCCGGCTCAGATTGTTTAGAGCCATATTTTTTAAAAATTGCTGCAGATTTTATTGCTAAACCGCTCATGTATATTTTTAATTTGTCTTTGGTTCAGAATGTTATGCCATCAATCTGGAAATCTGCTTATGTCCTCCCCTTGTTAAAGGGTCATGAAACCCTGAACCAAATTTTCTGAGATTTTTACAGAGGTATGTGTGTTGAACAACATTGAAGACAATGTTAGCATCTGTTAGATTTAATAGTAGAGCGAAAATGGTTACATTTTAGTTTTTCCCAGCTATTTTCGTCTTCCGGGTTTAAAATCTTCATCGCAGGCTGTGACGTGGCAGTGCACAGTGTAGTGCGTTGATGACTCATCGGTCTCTCATAATTATTAATGAGACTGAGTTTTTATATCCTATGAGAAGACACGGTCTCTTAATTATTCATGACACAACGTGGATCTTTCCACAGACATGTCAAACTGTGATATCGCGTAGTAAAGGAGAGAGACCATCATGGGACGCAAGTGCCGCAAACATTTTACCCGAGAGAGCTTCGAGAATTGGAGAATGGTGGACTTCGGCCTTGTCGATGACCAATGCAAGTTACGTCTTGCGAGTAATGCGGTACCAAGTCCTGAGGACTTTTCTATCCCTTCAGAGTGTGTGTCTAAAATGTAACCCTGGTCATTTTACTTGCCTTTTCTTAAGTAAGCGGTCGTTATGAACATTTTAGACATTTCGATAATATATTAATTGTATGCTTAATGCGGGAGACTTGTGAATGTGTAGTGTTGACGTGCGGGCCGGGCGACACCGTGTTGTGTGTGTGTGTGTGTGTGTGTGTGTGTGTGTGTGTGTGTGTGTGTGTGTGTGTACGTGCAGGCAGGCGAGCCTGCGTAATGATTCGGGGTTAGAGAGAGAAGTGGTAGGATGTGTGTGTTTGGACGAACGACTGAAAACTCTGAGATTATTGTTCATTATTGATCGTACATTGTACAGAGGTCAAAATTATTGTACAAATACGATAATTATCGTACATCTGGCAACACTGCTGGCTGATGACAGTTCCCCCTCTCCCCTGCCGTGCCACACCCACTCCCTCCCTTCTTCTCACAGCCATCCACGCCCATTTAAGTTGCATTTTTCAAAAAGATTATGAGCTAGACTTGAGCTGATAGAGGGGGGTTTCATGACCCTTTAAAGGGAGGAGATCCTACTTTGTTAAACAATTATAGGCCTATTTCCAACTTGTCTGTGCTGTCAAAGGTCTTAGAACGACTAGTAAGTGAACAACTTAAAGAATTCCTGAGTGTTAATAATATCCTATCAGAGTTTCAGTCGGGTTTCCGAAAGGAACATAGTACCATCTCTGCTTCATTGAAGGTGGTGAATGACATCATTGAGGCACTGGAAAGCAAAAAGATGTGTGCAGCTCTTTTCATTGATCTTTCTACAGCATTTGATACGGTGAACCATTGTATTTTAAAACAGAGACTGCTCAACATTGGTCTTTCTGAGAAGGCAGTTGGTTGGTTTGAAAATTATCTCTCAGATAGGACTCAGTGTGTCAACTTTGACGGTATTTCTTCAGGTTTCTTACAAGTTGTATCAGGGGTTCCTCAGGGATCGGTGCTGGGCCCACTTTTATTCACCATTTATGTAAATGATCTTGGTTCAAATGTCCATAATGCTCTGTTTCATTTTTATGCTGATGACACAATTATTTACAGTTGTGGAGAAACCCTTCACCAGACTTTTCAGTACCTGCAGGATGCCTTTGACGTTGTACGATCTTGGCTTTTTGACTCAAAGCTTGTGTTGAATGCAAATAAAACAAAGACGGTCTTGTTCTCAAATGATAGGAACTCCACAGCTATCCCTCCGAACGTTGTAACCCTGCAGGGAAATCTAATAGAGCATGTGGCTGAGTATAAGTACTTAGGGCTTTTACTTGATGAACATTTGACTTTTAAGGCTCATATCCAAAATTTAGCCCGGAAACTTAGGTTAAAGCTTGGGTTCTATTTTAGGAATAGGGCCTGCTTTTCTCTTGTAACAAGGAAGAAATTGGTCGAGGCTACTTTTCTGTCTCTTATTGATTATGGTGATTTTTAATATATGCACGCCCCGAATAAATATTTGCACCAACTGGATTCAGTTTATCATGGTGCACTGAGATTCATTACAGGGTGCAAACCCTTTACACATTGTTGCACTCTGTATGATCTGGTCCAGTGGCCCTCCCTTGCTCAGCGCAGGCTAACCCGGTGGCGATTGTTTATATACAAATCTATTATTGGGACATTGCCCCCTTATTTATGTAGGCTTATGTCCTTCAAGGCCAGCATTCGCTCTCTGCGGTCTAATGATAATCTCCACATGATTGTGCCTAGGGCCCGAACAGAGTTAGGGAAGCAAGCATTTAGAATTCTGCCCCATCAGCGTGGAACCTGTTACAGAATGACTTAAAACTTGATAGCTTGGTCTCCTTTGGTCACTTTAAGAGGCTAGTAAAGTATCGGGAAGCTTTTAATAAATTTTTTTTTTTACGTGCGTGCAGCGTGAATAAATCCAAACACCCCGTGACAGATTTAAGTTTCACTTTCGATCCGTGACCGACAGAGGAGTGTCTTGTCGACAGGGATTTAAATCTTTAAAAATGTCTGGGATAAGAAAATCTAAAGATGCACACCATCAGAAAGGATATTCTCCAAGGCTGGATTTAGCATCAGGAAAACCATGATCGCACTTCTGCCGGCCAACGTTAACGGTTTTCCTCGGGACATTCTAAAACGCTTAACGTGAAAAAAGCTTTTAAAACGCTTAAATGGGACTTTTACGTGCTTAATGTATGTACACAGTAGGCTATACACCTTAAAAAAACCATTCTATGTGCAGATAAGCAGATGAACCCAGAATATGAACGCAACGCGTTTCTCCTATAGAAAGTCACGTAAAGCTTTTTCTTTAACGGTTTTCTAAGGGAGGAAAATGCTTAACGTAGCCTATAATAAAACGCGTTGCGTTCATATTCTGGGCTCATCTGCTTTTCTGTAGGCTTTAACCCTTGTGTTCTGTTCGATTTCTGTGTACACCCCTTATGGACCGGGTCAAATTGACCCTAATTGGATTCAATGCAATTCCTCAAAAATCACACTATGAAAAACAACAAAGATTTAGATACAAACTGTAAACTTTTAATATCAACATTTGTCAAACATTACAAAAACATTATATCTGAAAATATGATCAATGAAAATGTTTTTAAAACATTTTTTAAAACAGTTTTGTTTTGACAAAATTGGAAAATAAACAGTATACTGATTTTTTTTGCATATATATATATTTTTTTTTTTTTACATTCTATGCTTTGAACATCGTAACTGAACAAAAAAAATTGCTGTATAATGAAAATTTTTCATGAAAAGTTTGTGGATTACCGACACACGTGTGACGAGAAAATAGTGGAGATGGAAGGATTGCAGCCACCTCCAAAGCTTCAATTGTCTGGTAATGTTGCTGAAAATTGGAGACGATTTAAGCAACGATTTCTTCTATATTTGTCTGCGATTGATGGAGATCGTAAGTCAGAAAAAAATGAAAGCGTCATTATTTCTTCATGTGGTTGGCGACGAAGCTTTGGAAGTATATAATAATTTCACTTTTGAAGAAGGAGAGAGTTTGAAGTTGCAGCCGACAGTAGACCAGTTTGAAGCGTTTTGCATACCTAAAAGAAATGTGACTTATGAAAGACATTGATTTGTCAAGTGCATGCAGAAAATTGGAGAAACAATTGATCAGTATGTGACGGAGCTCAAACATAGGAGTAAAACTTGTGAGTTTGGAGAATTAACAGATTCGTTGATCAAAGATAGAATTGTGTGTGGAATACCTGACAATGGATTGAGGGAACGATTACTTCGAGAACAAAATTTGGACTTGGAAAAGGCTCTTTCACTTTGTAGAGCGGCAGAGACTGTAAGAACGCAAGCGAAAGAATTGTTGAATGAGACTTGTGCTGTGGATTTTGTAAAGAAGTATCCGACACCTTGTGCAACTGCAAAACAAGTAACGCAACAGGAACGAAGCAGGATGGTAACTGACAAGCCTCAAAGAGCGTGTGATCGTTGTGGGATGCAACATCCACCCAGAAAATGTCCAGCGTATGGGAAAAACTGCAATAGTTGTGGTAAAATTAATCATTATGCACGTTGTTGTCAAAGTAAACGAACATCAAGCCAAGTAAATGCTGTTACTGAATGTGAATTGGAAGAATTCTTTGTGGATGTAATAGTAGACGATGGAGGTGAACAGAAAGAGTGGACTGTACAACTGCAGATAAACAATAGTACAGTTGCGTTTAAGCTTGACACTGGAGCCCAAGTTAATATCATTTCTGAGACTGAATTCAACAAACTAAAGCCTAGACCAAAGTTGCATGCTGCTAAGTTGAAAGTAACCGGATACTCTGGAGCGGACATACCAGTGAAAGGAAAATGTGTTGCAAAAGTGCAATATAAGGATAAAGTACACAGTCTGTCATTTGTAGCGGTGCCAAAGGATTTTCAAGCTATTCTGGGTTTGTCTGCTTGTGAGAGGCTGCAGTTGGTGAAAAGAGTGCTGGTTGTAGAAGAATCAAAAGAGTCTGAATCTGAGTATGACTCAATCATAACAGAGTTTGGGGATGTGTTCAAAGGCTTAGGCTGTCTGTCAGAGGAGCACACCATTCAAATTGACGATACTGTATCTCCAGTTATACATCCCTGTCGAAAAGTACCATGTGCACTTCAAAGACAATTAAAAGAAGAACTGGATAAAATGGAGAGTTTAGGAGTGATACAAAAAATTGATCAGCCCACAGAATGGGTTAGTTCATTGGTGATTGTGGACAAGAAGAATGGAAAACTTTGAGTTTGTCTTGATCCTAGAGATTTGAACAGAGCAATTAAGAGAGAACATTTCAAGCTTCCTACACGTGAAGAGATCATGGCCCAGTTTGCAGATGCCAAATATTTTAGCAAGCTAGATGCGTCGTCAGGATTTTGGCAGTTGAAATTGGATGGTGCCAGCTCAAAACTTTGCACATTTAATACACCATATGGAAGATATTGTTTTTTAAGGCTTCCTTTTGGAATTGCTTCGGCTCCTGAGGTGTATCATAAAACAGTGCACATGATTTATGAACACATGGAAGGAGTTGATACATCGATGGATGATATAATTGTCTGGGGAACTTCGAAAGAAGAACATGATGCGAGGTTAAGAAGGGTTTTTGAAGCAACCAGGCGAGCAAATTTGAAGTTGAACAGAGAAAAGTGTCAATTGGGGGTGACTGAGTTAACCTTCTTGGGTGACATCATTAGTAGTGCTGGAGTGCGACCAGATCCCCTGAAGATCTCTGCTATCGAACATATGCCAAGACCGCAATGTGTAAAAGATGTCCAGAGATTCATGGGTATGTTGAATTATATGAGTAAATTCATACCTAATCTGTCTGAGAAAATAGCTCCATTAAGATGGCTAACTGAGAAAAGGAATGAATGGAGTTGGAACCATGAACAGGAGTCTGCATGGCAACATTTGAAAGCAATTTTAACTAAAGAGCCAATCCTGAAATTCTATGAGCCCAATCATTCTATTAAAATTTCAGCTGATGCTTCACAGACAGGATTGGGAGCAGTACTTCTCCAGGATTATGATGGAACGTGGCAACCGGTTGCATATGCCTCACGTTCGATGACTGATGCGGAGTGTAGGTATGCTCAAATTGAAAAAGAGTTGCTTAGTATTACTTTTGCTTGTGAGAGGTTTCATCAATTTGTGGCAGGACAGAGTGTTGATGTTGAAACTGACCATAAACCATTGATTGCATTGTTCAAAAAACCTCTTAATGATTGTCCATTGAGAATACAAAGAATGATGATCAGATTGCAACGTTATGCATTAACTGTATCCTATATACCAGGTAAATTGATGTTTGTGGCAGACACCTTGTCCAGAGCCGTAGACCCAACTGCACCCTCGAGTGGAAAATTGATTGAGGACATTCAAGCTTATGTGAACATGATCGTAGAAGCTTTACCTGTTGCTGATTCCAAAATGAAACTGATTTATCAAGAGACAGAACAAGACCAAACGCTCACTCAGGTGAAATTCTATGTGATGAATGGTTGGCCAGATGTGAAGCAAGATTGTGTTGTAGAAGTTCATGAATTTTGGAACTGCAAATCTGACTTGTCTGTTTGTAATGGAATTCTATATAAAGGAAATAAAATAGTGATTCCGAAAAATATGAGACGTGAGATGTTGAACAAAATCCATGAAGGCCATTTGGGAATTGAGAAGTGTAAAAAAAGAGCTCGTGAAGTTATGTACTGGCCTGGAATTAATCAGGACATCACAATAGAAGTTTCCAAATGTCAGACATGTGCCAGATATCAATTCAATAATCCAAGAGAACCACTAAAGTCGCATCCTGTACCTGAAAGACCATACCAAAAAGTAGGTGCAGACATATTTACATGTCATGGAAAAAATTACCTCTTGGTTACGGATTATTATTCATTTTATCCAGAGGTGTGTGCATTAAGCACAACTACGGCAGAAAATGTTATTTCATGCCTGAAATCCGTCTTTGCTCGACATGGAGTACCTACTGAAGTTTTCACAGATAATGGTCCTCAATTTGTTAATGATAGTTTCCAGAGTTTTTCAAAAGACTGGGACTTCAGACATACAACATCAAGTCCATATTTTCCCCAGTCTAATGGTCTTGTGGAAAAATCAGTTGGAGTTGTGAAAAGGTTGATGCAAAAAGCAAACGATTATGAAAGTAGTTTTTATATGGGACTGCTTGCTTATCGTAGTACCCCTCTTGAGTGTGGAAACTCGCCAGCATATCTTTTGATGGGACGACGTCTTCGTTCTAATTTACCTATGTCCGAGGATCTTCTTGTGACAGAAGGCAGTAAGAAATTCAGAGAATTTAAAGAACAACAAAAGGCTAAGCAAAAGGTCTATTATGATAAAGGAACTCATCATTTACCTGAACTTCGTGTGGGTGAGGAGGTCAGATTTAAAGATAAAACTAATACTTGGAATCAGAAAGGCATTGTACTTGAACAAATTCAACCAAGGTCTTATAATGTTGAAACCACAAGTGGTGTTGTGTTTAGGAGGAATCGTCAACATCTGTTGAAAGATTTATCAGCTGAATCAGAACAACCGGAACAAACTGAGATACCGTTGAGAAGGTCTGTTCGTGAACGGAGATGCCCTGAAAGACTTATTGAAACATGCTGAAAGTTGAAATAGTACTGACAGACTTGTTGCAAGAGACTGAATTGATATTTTAAATTGTGTGAAATCATGTTTGTATTTTGCTATGGGATTTAAATGTTTAGGCTATATGTAATGGAGGGTTGCATGTTTTAAAAAAAAAAAAAAGGGGGAAGATGTAATGATAGTGGGTTTTATGGAGTAGTGGCAACCCTGTCTAATATATGTTTGCACCTGTGCATGTGGAGGGAGAGTGGATTGGCATAGGGCGTGGTGGCAGCACGCCACTATGCAAGAGCCTAAATAAATCTAAACATTATCAATGGACTAGAAGTCTGGTGATTGATCATCCCGCACAAAACAGTGTGTACAGAATTTGATCTTTTAATATAACCGTTTTAGAACAAAGCCGTTAAGCGTTTTTTTAACGAGCGTTTTAGAATGTATTTTATTCGCACAAACAATTTAAAAAGACTCAAACGGACACAGGCCGAGTGAAAGACTGGATTTCACAAGTGATTTCAAAACATTTCAGCTGGTTCTAATTTGATTTTTGGATACTGTGAACGCGTTTAGCTAAAAAGACTGCCGCTCCAGTAGCGTTTATTGTTGTTTCTTCAGTTAAAAAGACAAAGTTGAATATCCTGGCCATACTTTCGTTATTTTAATAATTTCTTTATTTTTATTTTATTAATTGATTAGTCAGGGTGATCTAATTTAACTATTTGTGACTTGTGTTTTGAATATTTGTTCCCCTGCACTTTAGGCATTTTGCACACATTTGTTCTGATTCTTGTGACTTGATTCTGACTTATTTCGTTTTGTATTTTTATTTATTATAAATGTATATTGTGTTCTTAATTGTTGATTATTTTTCAGCGCATCGATGTTGCGCTGTAGGCCTACTTAGAGCATGCTCGCTCGTACAGGCAATTCAGCCGATTTAATTTGATTTGCATGTGAAATGCGGAGGCCCTGGTGCCGGCTGTGTGGCAGTGCATTCGTGCCGAGGGTCCCCTCGGTCAGTGTTACGAAGCATAGGAGACGTTCAGATCCAAGTGCAGCTTGTCCTTTATTTAACAGAGTAGTCACCAGGCAAGGGTCAAACACCAGCAAACACAGCAGAGAAGATCAGGCAAAATCGTGGTCAGTAAACAGGCAGGATATCAGGGCAGGCAGCAAACAGGAAGGATACAGGAACCAGGCAGAAGATCAGGAACAGACAAGGTCAAAACAGGCAGGAATATACATGGGAAAACGCTTGGAAATGTTCGCAGCAGCAAAACAAGACTTCGCGGTGAGTGAATGAATGAGCATGGTATATATGGACTGAGACTAACAGGATGACACACAGGTGAATGCAATCAGAGAATGAGGTACAGGTGATTGTGATCAGTGATGAGTCCGGGCAGTGAGTTATGGGAAATGTAGTCTGTGAGTGAACGTGAGAGTCTGATGTGGAGTCCCCTCTGGTGGCTCTCAAGGGCACTCCAGCTGGTAACCGTTACATAGCCCCCCCTTTAAGGAGCGGATTCCAGACGCTCCTCAAATTGTCCAGGAGGGAGGTGGAGCGGAGGCGGACCTGGGGGCGGGATGGAGGGCCAGGCCCATGGAGCGGAAGAGGACCTGGAGACTGCGGCAAGACTGGAGACCAGGGCGGAGCAGGCAGTGCAGGCGACCAGGGCGGAGCAGGCTGTGCAGGCGACCAGGGCGGAGCAGGCTGTGCAGGCGACCAGGGCGGAGCAGGCTGTGCAGGCGACCAGGGCGGAGCAGGCTGTGCAGGCGACCAGGGCGGAGCAGGCTGTGCAGGCGACCAGGGCGGAGCAGGCTGTGCAGGCGACCAGGGCAGAGCAGGCTGTGCAGGCGACCAGGGCGGAGCAGACAGTCCATCGGGCGGCCAGGGCGGAGACGACTCCTCGGGCGGCCAGGGCGGTGAAGACCCCTCGGGCGGCCAGGGCGGTGAAGACCCCTCGGGCGGCCACGGCGGTGAAGACCCCTTGGGCGGCCACGGCGGAGAAGACCCCTCGGGCGGCCACGGCGGAGAAGACCCCTCGGGCGGCCACGGCGGAGAAGACCCCTCGGGCGGCCACGGCGGAGAAGACCCCTCGGGCGGCCACGGCGGTGAAGACCCTTCGGGCGGCCACGGCGGTGAAGACCCTTCGGACGGCCACGGCGGTGAAGACCTCTCAGGCGGCCACGGCGGTGAAGACCCCTCGGGTGACCACGGCAACTCGGGAACAGATAACACACACACTTGCTCGGGAACAGACATCACACACACTGGTTCGGGGACAGACAACACACACACTGGCTCGGGAACAGACAACACAGACTCTGGCTCGGGAACCGACAACACAGACTCTGGCTCGGGAACCGGAACAGACAACACACTCACTGGCTCGGGAACAGACATCACACACACTGGTTCGAGTGTGTGCGCAGCCCACTCACACCACATGGCTGTGGCCATAATGGCCAGTGTTGCGGTCACTGAGGGCTCAGGCATAGCAGTGGCCATATCTGCTGAGGGCTCAAGCGGCGCACATGTGGCATGAACAGTCTCTGGCTGAGCTGACGTGACGAGAACAGTCTCTGGCTGAGCTGACGTGACGAGAACAGTCTTTGGCTGGGCAGACGTGACGTGAACAGTCTCTGGCTGGGCAGACGTAACGTGAACAGTCTCTGGCTGGGCAGACGTGACGTGAACAGTCTTTGGCTGCGCAGACGTGACGTGAACAGTCTCTGGCTGGGCAGACGTGACGTGAACAGTCTCTGGCTGGGCAGACGTGACGTGAACAGTCTCTGGCTGGGCAGATGTGACGTGAACAGTCTCTGGCTGGGCAGGCGTGACGTGAACAGTCTCTGGCTGGGCAGATGTGACGTGAACAGTCTCTGGCTGGGCAGACGTGACGTGAACAGTCTCTGGCTGGGCAGGCGTGACGTGAACAGTCTCTGGCTGGGCAGATGTGACGTGAACGGTCTCTGGCTGGGCAGACGTGACGTGGACGGTCTCTGGCTGGACGGTCTCTGGCTGGACGGTCTCTGGCTGGACGGTCTCTGGCTGGACGGTCTCTGGCTGGACGGTCTCTGGCTGGACGGTCTCTGGCTGGACGGTCTCTGGCTGGACGGTCTCTGGCTGGACGGTCTCTGGCTGGACGGTCTCTGGCTGGACGGTCTCTGGCTGGACGGTCTCTGGCTGGACGGTCTCGGCAGGACGAGACCCTGAAACAATGGCCCTCTTGGCACCACGTGCAGACATCAGCGGGGAATCTGCCACGCTGGAAACCAGTCCTGGGCGGCCATAGACCGATCTGGTGGCAGGCTTTATGGTTGGTGTGACGTGGAGAAACTCAGGCTCGTCGTGGCTGACGTGAAACTCAGGCTGAGGGGATACTGTGGGTTCACGGAGTTCCTCATCTACCACACCCACCGTATACACTGAACCGCTTAACAGAAGGGCCAGTTCAATATAGCTCTCTAATGTCCCGTGAGGGTCATGCAAGGGCATGAATGAACTGAGCGGTTCAGATAGTCCTCCTCGGAAAAAGATCATCTGGCACTCTGTGTTCATTGAGGTGAGATGTGCCAGTTCAATAAACTCCGCGACATAGTCTTCAATGGACCGATTCTCCTGACGGAGACGCATGATTTGGACGTCTGGACTCATAGTTGGCATCGCTGCTGGATCTCGGTGTGGCGAAGTCTTCTGTTACGAAGCATAGGAGACGTTCAGATCCAAGTGCAGCTTGTCCTTTATTTAACAGAGTAGTCACCAGGCAAGGGTCAAACACCAGCAAACACAGCAGAGAAGATCAGGCAAAATCGTGGTCAGTAAACAGGCAGGATATCAGGGCAGGCAGCAAACAGGAAGGATACAGGAACCAGGCAGAAGATCAGGAACAGACAAGGTCAAAACAGGCAGGAATATACATGGGAAAACGCTTGGAAATGTTCGCAGCAGCAAAACAAGACTTCGCGGTGAGTGAATGAATGAGCATGGTATATATGGACTGAGACTAACAGGATGACACACAGGTGAATGCAATCAGAGAATGAGGTACAGGTGATTGTGATCAGTGATGAGTCCGGGCAGTGAGTTATGGGAAATGTAGTCTGTGAGTGAACGTGAGAGTCTGATGTGGAGTCCCCTCTGGTGGCTCTCAAGGGCACTCCAGCTGGTAACCGTTACAGTCAGGGAGTAAAATAACTGGAAATGGGACGAGTCCGGAGAGGCAAACAGATCTATCTGTAGTGTGGCCTTTCTGCAGTTATTTATGTTATTTCTTAGTTTTATTGATCCAAAATGTTTTTATACATTTTCTTCTATATCTTTGTGTGATGTTCTGTACATCGCGGCTTTAAAATGTTAAAGCCCCGCCCCCTCCCCAACACCACACACATGATTCGACTATTAGTCGACTATAGGCAGGACTTGACGAATCTGATTCGACTATGAAAATCCTTAGTCGGGGACACCCCTAGTTTATTGTATTATTATATTTTGTATTTTATGTGGAACTTTTATTGCGGCCTTCTTGGCCAGGGCTCCTTCGTAAAAGAGACTTGTTCTCAAAGGATTTCCCTGGTTAAATAAGGGTTAAATAAAAAAAACCTAAACATGCAGTTATTCGCAAAAAAAATACATAACGCATAAGGCAGTATTTTAGCATGATAATCAGTGTCATAAGCTAATCAAAACTATATATTTAATATACAAATATGTTTAGAGAGTAATATCACATTTAAAAAGTTTACACGATCGAATGTTAGGGATATTGTGAGGCAATCTTTTCTGTAAGATGTCAAAAGCTAGGCAAAACATAGTCTGAAAATTCATTTGAGCTCTATACGATCAGAAAATAAATTTTTAAACTCTAAACAACTTACTCTGAACTTGTAGGCCTATCCTCGGCGCGGGATCAATTCGTTCTTCAAAATGCAGCCGTTCCTCGTCCGAGTTATAGGCTAATCTTCCGCTGAGGAAAAGTGAATTCTTCCTCGCTGTCCAGAATCATCTGAAGGGCCTCTTTGTCGGAGTACCGTGCCATCCTCAAAACGCAATGAATCTATCAGTGAAAAAACTTCGTGTTTTTATGCCATTGATCGCTGGGCGT